TACCAACTTAGTACTAGCTGTCTTTCATCTTAGCCATTTTGATGTGTGTGTGTGTGTGTGTGTACATATGTGTGTAGTAGTATCTCAGAAGGGTTTCAACCTCCCTGATATCTATGGAAGTTGATCACCTTTGCATACACTTACTGCCACTTCAATGTGTTCTTTTACAAGTGCCTATTAAAATGTTCTGCCTTTTTCTTACTGATTTGGAGAATTGTTAATGTATTGGAGGACTATTAATATATTCCAGATATCAGTCTCTTATAGGTACTTCCACTCTGTGAGCACTTTCAAAAGTGCTATCTTTTAATATTTCACATTTAGCACCTTTCGTGTCCTAAATATCATGAAGGTACTCTCCACTTTTTTCTAAAAACCCTAGTATTTTTACTTAATTAACCCTAAAATACATGTGGAATTGAGTTTGGTATATGATAAGAGATGGGTAGAGATATGTTTTTCCCCAAATAGGCATCTAACTGACACAGCACCATTTATTTAAAAGATCATCCTTTCTTTGCCACATTGGAACATCACCTCTTTCTTATGCTGGGTGACCATATGAGATTATTTCTGATTCAAAAACAGTATTTAGGGGCTGGGATAGTGACTCAGGGGTAGAGTGCTTGCCTAGCATGCATGAAGCACTGGGTTCGATCCTCAGCACCACATAAAAATAAATAAATAAAATAAAGGTATTGTATCCATCCACAACTAAAAAAAAAAATATTTAAAAAAAACAGTATCAACTGGAAAAAAAGATGCAAAATGATATGAACTGAATAGCATCTCTAACACACTATTATAAGTAAGCAATATTTAGTGTTATTTTTCTATTTGTATAACATATACATGTAGTAAAGTAAGAAAATATGGACCAGAAGACTATATATACCAAATTTACAACTGCTGTTTCTGGGAAAGAGAAGTGGGTGTTTTAGTTTTTCAGGGGTTTTTTTGGGGGGAGGGAGGACTCAGGTTGGGGATTGAACCCAGGAGTTCTTTACCATTGAGCTATATCTCCAGCCCTTTTTGTTTTTTGTTTTGAGACAGGGCCTAAGTTGCTGAGGATGGCCTTGCAATCCTCCTGTCTCAGCCTCCTGAGCCACTGGGATTAGACATGTGCCACTGAGCCTGGCAGAAGTTTGTTCTTAAACACTGCATTATACAGTCTATTACTGAAAACACAATCTGCATTTTAAGAAACTGAATATTGACCTATTGATGTAAAATAATTTTATTAAATGGGAAATACGAGATTTTATAATCACTTTCAGAAAAAAAAGTGTTAAATCAATTTCTGAACCAAAATAGTGATTTTAGGTCACTAAATTAATGTATCTTACAAATATTTTTGGTTCCTTGTATTAAAGTGCAAAATTCTGTAGTTTTTTTCCCAGTTACTTTTTGGGTTTTTTTGGGTTTTTTTTTCCCTGTTCTTTGATAATCCTGAGGAATCAAACACCCAGTTTTATACATGCTAGACAAGTACTCTACCACTCAGCAGTCCATCACACCAGGTACTCTTTTATCCAACAGAAAGGAACAGCAATATTTGTCTTCATTCTTGCTTTCTCCTTCCAATTCTCAATACATGGATAATAACAACAAAAATAAACAATAATTATAGCTAGCATATTTTCAGCATCATCCTATAAGCATCACATATAACATTATAGAACAAATGAATGTGATAGATACATTTGTGATCTCCATTTTAGAGATGAGATATAACATAAGATTATATGTTAGGAAACATTTGTAATCCCTGCTATATAATTAAATTTAGAACATCTAAGGAGGACTTTTTAATTTAAAACTGGATAAATCACATGTGATCAAATAACGCAGTAATTTTCCCATAACCATGGCATTACTGGCCTTTATTAGGGTCTTCACTAAGATTTAGCATCCTAGCAGCATTCAAACCTACTTGTCACACTTTTGAAGCATATTTCTTTGGCTTTCACACTCAAGTTTTCCTCGTCTTCTCTATTTGTGCTGTTCCTGTCTTTCACCCTCTCTCCCAAACCAGACTCGACCTCTAATACCTAGGTGTTAAGTGCTGTAGATTCTCAAGGCTCAATCTTAGGCCTTGGCCAACTTATACTCTGAACCCTCAACCCACCTAGTCACAGCTTCAATTGCTTATATATTAAATAATTTTCAAAAATTGTACATAACTCATCTCATAACTCATTGTACCTAACTATTCTTACTTGGCACTATTTCTTGAATGGCTCAAAGGTACCTCAAAAACTACAAATTCAAAACTGAACTCATGATTTTCTTCCATCCAAAATAGTACTCCAAAACTCTATAGGCTCAATAAATGGCATCACGATCATCCAGTTTTGCAGACACCATCTCTCTGTTCCTTAAACCACGAGTGCAATGTCAAATTCTACTGATTTAACTTCCTAAATGTCTCATGAAATTGTTGCATCTTTCTATCTTGTATACTAGCACCAACCTTCTTATTCAAGCTAATTGATAAAAC